AAATATTTTACCCGTATATTCATTACTTTAAGCAAAATATTTTACCCGTATATTCATTACTTTAAGCTAACTATTTTAACTGTTCATCCATTACAGGAAACTCTGGTTGGGAATCACTGCTAAAGACGGTGTTTCATCGTGCCACCCACACATACAACACACATACAACAACGTGAAAAGTACAGTTGATATCAGAATGATTACTTTCATGCAAATGTATACTAATGATCTATGTGGGTGATTAACAGATTAACAGTTGAGAATGGGCTCTTGCTGCAGATGTGTTGTACCTCAGTCCCTTTTTGGGAAGCGTGTTTCTGTCAAGAGGCATGCTGTTAAAACACAAAGGATGAGTGAATTAGATGAACAACAGAAAACATTTTTGTTTGATATACATGAGAAAAAGACTCTGGTCACATTTTACAAACTTGACCTTTGACACACACACATACACAAAGACACACACAATGAAGAAAACAAAGACACTACTAATGTATCACAGTACAGACACTAATATATAAACAGGCCGATCTAAATATTAATCAATTGTTTCATTTTTGAGACATACAGCTAAGCTAGTAAGGGAAAATAAACTACCATGATTACTTTTCATTCTGTTTATGTATTGCATGCACAGTATGTGGACAAAACAATGGAAACACCCTGATAAAGACTTCTCATGGGAATGAGCGTCTGGAATGATCTTAATTTATTGTGGGACTTTTCTAGCATGGCTTCAGACCCACAACTAATAGTGTCTTGATTGTTTTAAATAGGTTGAATGATGATCCCAGAACCACTAAGATTGGTACCTGGTCAAGGCAATAGACTAACCATGGACAAGTTGGTATGTGAGGTGGGTCAGTGAGTAGTAAAAGGGTAAGACTCTGGAAAGAAGGATAATACCAAAACCATGCTGGAAAAAGAAACCTAAATCCAACCAAGCAATTTCTTCTTCTTCTTTTAATTATGTTGCTGAGGCTTCCTCTGCTTTAATGTTTATATCTTAGGATAAAGAGCTATACTATTTGTCTCTGTTCTCAAATGAAACAATGAATACGATTCAGCCCAATCGTATTCCCCGTTACTCACCCCTCAGACAGGGTGGACTTGACACTGCCGGTTCGTGTAACCTTGGGCCCGTGGTGGCCCAGCGGGAGATCAATGGACTCAGAGCTGGTGTGCAGACTGGTCATGCTTTGGCAGCTCAGTGTGTCCTTGCTGCCAGCTGACGAGCTACAGGCCGGCCAGGGCCGAGCGTTGGAGGGCAGGGAGAGGCCAGAGGCCGGGCTGGACGCCGGGGAGTCGGTGCACAGGTCTGGGGTTTTACCGTATAGCGGGCTACTGCCGCCGCTCAGGCCGCAAGCGCTGCCCAGGCTCCCCGTGCCAGAGGAGGGCGAGTCCAGACTGGCCTGCCTCGCCAGCGTGCTGTGGGGGCTGCCAAGTATTGAGGGGCACTTGCCAGAGTCGGGAGTGCCCGGAGAGCTGGCCTTGCTGCTGGCTTTGGTGCCAAACAATCTGGGGGTAGAGAGGTGGGTGCAGACATTCAGAAATGCTCAAAGGACAAGTGATGAGCCTCTGCAAGATCCATACTGGAAAATTAATTCATTTTGGTACTTTGAGAAAGTGGATAACATTGAGGTTAGCTAATGTATATTGCATGTGATATTGTATTACTGCAGTGGTCACAGGCATCAAGAAACTACTGCAACTCAAACATCCCCACATCTTTGTTGTAACACCAACATCAAACTACGGGTAAAATACTGAGCACACTTCTCAACACATTTATCCCTCGCGGCAAACTCCACCTCATTTCAGCGGCGGATCCTCAGTAACTTACATCGACACATCTGCTTTCACAGCTTTGCACGTTTCAGCCCTGTGACTTTTAAGAACCTAATCTGTTAGGCCACTCAACTCCGCTTGCCTCCCACATATGCTCAGACAGCCTGCTACTCATATTGCGCCTGTCCCAGTCTGTCATCGCAATCACATGAAATATAAAGGTGAAAAAAATATAGCAAGCTTGAAGGCATGCAGATGAAACGGGTCAGCCTGACAGATCGGATAGGGACGATTGTCTGGCCGCGCCTGCAGAACGCGTGCTTCTAATGAGTCAGGGATCGGCGAGGCGAGAAACTCCTGTCTCCTGTCTGTTCTGATCAAGAACTGCTGAGCTGGATTTGGCTGAACCCGAATGAAAAGCCATCGCCCCTTCATCTGCGGGGTAAATATATGTTTCATCTGCAGTGGCTTATCGCCTACACCAGCGGACAATCTATGCGATGGCCCCATCGGCTGTGCAGCCGAGTGAACACGCTCAATCAATCTTCCTGTGGAGGTGCAGAAATGTGATTTATTAAATGTCATGTATTGATCTTGCACATCAAAACATATCTAAATTTGCCGGAGTACTTTTGGCGAGACTTTACCACTACAGACGAGGTCTTCAATATATGCCCCCTATCTGTTACAGGAGTCTGGGGAACAGTCTGCACCAGGAAATGATAATGAATGAAAACAGCCTTCAATTCTGAAAGAGACAGAATCAGAATCACCTGAATCCAAAGTACAATCTAAGTACTGCAAGACCTGAACTTATATTGCAGCTAAAGGCGCGCTTGCTGTACTGAAAAAAAAAAAAAACATCCCTTGTAGCTATTAACCAAATACAGCATGTGATGAAATGCTTGAGTCACGTAGAAACACACGGCGAGGGACAAAGACAGAACTGAAGCCGCGTGCATGTTTTGTGTGTCTGACCTGCGGAACGTAGGGGAAGCGATATCGGGGTACTTGGAGCCCGGCTGCCTGAGGCCTGATTGACCGGTTGAACTGGAGGTGGGGCTGGACTTCGGAGAGGTGGATAGTCCTGCTGAGGCGTCCTGGTCTGACACCGCCACTTTCTCCTTATCCGTCTGGTTGATGGTGATGGGACTGGAGCGGTCAGAACGGTCGGAGCCCACTTTTCCGTCCCTGCGCTTGGCGCCCGCTTGTGTCGCCGCAGCCACCGCAGCTGCCGCCCCCCCCGGCTGACTTGCCGCTCACGTTCGAGTCGATGCTGCTGGAGCTGGAGCGGTGCCCGCCGCGCCCTGCTGCTGCTCCGCTGGAGGATTTGGCCGGTCTGGGCAGAGAGCGGTACTGCAGGGTCACTTTGGAGGTGCTGCAGGTGAGTAGGATGCCGTCATCCTGGGGCTGTGAGCCGTCCAAGCTGGTCTTGCGCACACCACCGATGCCTGTGCCTTTGCCAAGGGCAGCTGAGGATTTGGGCGCCTTGCCCAGGGTGGCTGAGCCGCTGGCGAGCGTTGCCCCGCTGGAGGTGATTAGGGTACCACTGGCACCGGGGATCTTCTTGTATCCAAAAGACGCAGTGGTGGGTGGGCGTCCGATGCCGGAGGGAGGTTTCTTACCTTCATCTCCGCTACTCTTCCCGGCATCGGAGGGTGAGCGCTGGATGGCTGCTGAACTCTTGGAAGGCGCCTTGCCCTTCTCCGAGGCCTTAGCATCATCAGTTTTACCTGTAAATTTGCAAAAAGACTTATTAGCACAAATACAAAAAACATAACCCCCAGCAGATTCTTGGCCCAGCGCTTGTTTGTTTTTTAATCACCTGTGTACATTTTGGCCAGCAGCCAGTGGGCTGTTTATCACAGCTCAGCTGCAGTGAAAAGCGACAAATATGCTACAATTTGCGACTCTCCATCACAAAACATCTCCCAAAATGAATATTAAAAGCAAAGGCACATCTACTGTATTTCATTGCTACCTGTGGATTATAGATATTAAAACAACTCCCACCTGGTGTTTTGTGGGCAGCGGAGGTACCCTTGGTCCTGGGTGGCGTAATGCCCACCTGGGCCGTCATGCCCCGCCTCCACGAGCCCGTCTGGGACATCTGGGCCAGCGCGGCGGCCTTCTGACCGGCGTCCTCGTACTGACTCTGGGCTTGAGCGGAAGAGGATGACGAGGAGGACGAGGAGGGCTTCCAGCGGGAGGAGCCGCTGCCGGGGTCCATGCTCGCTTCCAGCTCCTCCTCCACCTTCTTCAGGTCCTCGGCTCCGGCCCAGCTGCTGCTCACCTCCTGCTCTGCATGTTTGGACCTGCTTCCTTTCTGGGACTGGGGGGTGGGGGTCAAAGAAAGCACATATAGATTATTCTGTAAAACAATGACAGCAGTACCTAAAAGAGTACGTAAGATCATACAGCCAACACAGCGAGATATAAGTCCCTGCACCAACGGAGCATTGGGGTGTGTGTTTGTGTGTGAAGTCGTAGCTATCTCTGGAATCACCCATGTCAAAATCTCCTCTTTTGGGACTCGTGCAAATACGCCCATACACACACACACACAGCAGTGATAACTAGCCTACCTTGACAGATGGCCGGTCTCCTTAGCAACACCAGAGTCTCTTAAGAGCCCGGTCTGTTGAGTATTTCATGAGGGGCCAAAGATACTTGGCAGAATACAGCTAACGCCTGCGAGGAGAGCTGAGCGGTGGCCTTCGGTTCACAGTTAATTCCCTCAGCTGTGATTTCAGAGCTCACACACAGCCTGGCCTTGGGTTTCATGCTAAACCAGCACACTTGCAGCTCCGCATTTGATATAGATATTTTGTCAGATCTGGCAATTCAATCTTTTTATAGCACAAAAATGTGACTTATTTTCAGTCTTTTACAGCTCATTTTCTGTAACTGCTTTGTAAACTTTCCCTGTCCTGTTTTGTGTTAAAAAGCTACTCCGGGGATTTAGTACTGCACTTTCATAAAGTTGAGGGACTCATAAGAGACAGGTTAAAAAAAGAATGGTCAAAATCTGCCAAGATGTCCTTACTTCACTTCCTGGTATGGGTCAAGCTACAAACACACTACCTACGTTTCCCGCGATGCAACCAAACAGCATCTTCCATTAAACCCTCCCTGCCAAGAGGAGCACTTTAAAACTGGAGTTGAAGTTGAGAGACAACGTGTACAACCGGATTCTTTCACAAGTAGCCAGTTTACGAGCTCATTTTAAACCAATGAAAAGACGATAGCGGGTTCCCAGATTGGATTTCAGCCAAAGAGCTCCGCCTCTTTTACTCTCCACTCGGACAGTTTACCCGCATTCAACCAAAGCCTGCTCGAACGTCCATCCATCCATCCATTTCCACCGCTTATCCGGGGTCGGGTCGCGGTGGCAGCAGGCCAAGCAGGCCGACCCAGACCTCTCTCTCACCGGCAACATGTTCCAGCTCATTCTGGGGGATCCCGAGGCGTTCCCAGGCCAGCTGGGAGATGTAATCTCTCCAGCGTGTTCTGGGTCTTCCCCGGGGTCTCTTCCCAGTTGGACGTGCCTGGAAAACCTCCAGTGGGAGGCGTCCAGTAGGCATCCTAATTAGATGCCCGAACCACCTCAGCTGACTCCTTTCGACGTGAAGGAGTAGCGGCTCGACTCCAAGCTCCCTCCTGATGACCGAGCTCCTTACCCTATCTCTAAGGCTGAGCCCGGCCACCCTACGGAGGAAACTCATTTTGGCCACTTGTAGCCGCGACCTTGTCCTTTCGGTCACGACCCAGAGTTCGTGACCATAGGTGAGGGTAAGAACGTAGACCGAGTGGTAAATTGAGAGCTTTGCCTTCCGGCTCAGCTCCCTCTTCACCAAGACGGTCCGGTGCAGCGCCTGCTTTACTGCTGCAGCCGCACCGATCCGCCTGTCGATCTCCCGCTCCATCTTTCCAGGACCCCTCCCACCGACTCCAAGAAGGCCGGATACTCCGAACTGCTGTTTGGTGCATAAGCACAAACCACAGTCAGAGCCTTGCTCCCTGCAACCCGTAGGCGCATGGAGGCGACCCTCTCGTTCTCCGGGGAGAACTCCAACACAGCGGCGCTCAGCCGGGGGCTCGTGAGTATCCCCACTCCCACCCGGCGCCTCTCACCCTGGGCAACTCCGGAAAAGGACAAAGTCCAACCCCTCTCCAGGAGCTTGGTTCCAGAGCCAACGCTGTGTGTGGAGGTGAGTCCAACTATTTCTAGCTGGTATCGCTCCACCTCCTGCACCAGCTCTGGCTCTTTCCCCGCTAGCGAGGTGACGTTCCATGTCCCTAGAGCTAGTCTATGCCGCCGGCGATTGGCATGCCCAGGCCTCCCGCCCGACCCGCTGCCCGGTCTGCATAGCACCCGACCCCGATGCTTGTCCCTGCGGGTGGTGGGTCCAGAGGGTGGCTGCTTCATGGTGTTTATTTGGGCTGAGCCCGACCGGGCCCCATGGGCAAAGGCCCGGCCACCAGACGCTTGCCTACGAGCTCCCCTCCTGGGTCTCGCTCCGGGAGGATGCCCCGGTTTTCCTGGTCCGGGCGAGGTGGCTAAAGTCCGTGGGCTAACTATCATAGGGGTCGTTTTGAACCGCTCTTAGTCTGGGCTCTCCCCTGAAACCTGTTTGCCTTGGGAGACCCTACCAGGGGCTAATGCCCCGGACAACATAGCTCCCAGGATCACTGAGCCACTCAAACTCCTCCACCACAATAAGGTGGCGATTCGCGGAGGAGCCTGCTCGAACGTGATTGGTCAATACTACCCGGACTACAAACTACAAAGGCAGAATCTGTTTTATAGAGGTAAAGCCCTGTGTGACCGGTAAACTGAACTTCTTGTGTAAAAGAAGAATACGCAATAAAAATCACACCACATAATGAGTTCTGGCTTGGAAGGTAATTACTGTACCACTGATGTCAATTAACTCCATCTACAAGCTGCTGTATAGCTAACAAGACATATAGCTACATGCTAGCAGCTCTGTGAGGCTGAATGTAGACACAGTGGTGCTTTGAGATAAATGCTAGCACGGCAACATGCTCACTATGATGATGCTAGCATGTTTAGCATGTGTAATGCATACCATGTTCACCATCTTAGTTTAGGATGTTAGCATGAAACTGTTGCTAGTTAGCACTAAACAGAAGGAACAGCTGAGGCTGACGGGAATGCCGCTAGTTTTGCAGGTATTTTGGCGAAGAACCAAAGTATTGAAAATAAATGAAACGTTTTGACCTGATGGTGGCGCTAGAGGAAAGGTCAGGGCGTGACCGAGCGGTTCGTGCACGTGTCCTCACCTGCGCTCCTTTGCTTTTGCGCGATGAGCTGTCAGCGGAGTAGGTGGCCGTGTTCAGATCATCCGTACTGATGTTGTCCAGAGTGTCGCTCAGGCCGCTGCTCACCGAGCTGCTGTCGTCCCAACTGCAGAAGGAGAAGAGCAGAGGTCGGTGAGGTTATTTTTGTAGTTCGTGTAGTCATTTCAGCACGTGCAGCGGTGGCGACAGCCATTCTCAGACCAGGATGGACCGATTTCCTCTGACATTACACAGCGGTGCTCTGTGCTTTACTAACAAAGCGTGCGGCACATCTGCCACCTTCACCTTCTCACTCTATTGCAACTACTAAATGTCACTGGCTGAAGGTTTTGGCAGAATAAAAGATAATCTGTCTCTTCAAACAGCTGCGCTTCTTTTTTAAGGCCCCATTGAATTGTGGGTATTAGAGTTATTTTTTCTAAACCCCCCAACACACACAAAAAAAGGCGTTGGCTCATTAATCGTTAAGCTTTTTATTGTGCAAAGGAATAAAAGGATCTTCACTGGCACCGTTATCATTTAGCTGTTGTTGAAGGCTGACAAGAGTCCCCTAGACGTGGAGCTTATGGATCCAACAGCGAACACACACACACACGTGCATCACAGGTGCGACAGCTCACATACACCTCAAAGGTTTATGTGTGTGTGTGAGAGAGAGTTTGCATGACAAATCTGATCAAAACATCCTTCAGTTTAATTTAAATCCAGCAGGAAAAATGACTGCGCAGCACAGCAGACACACAGAGAGAGATGACAATCAATACTAACAAAATGACTGTTAACACAATGGCATAACAGACAGATAACAAAAGAGCCAACTCGTTTTTTTTCACAAACAGATCCTTTCATCTGATGTGAATTTCCAGTCTGATGGATCGCAAACAACACCCCGAGTTTGAAACTATCTTTTCAAACAAAAAAATTTAAAAACTACTTCCAGAAGCTAATTACACATTTATCAACCAGTCAATTCGGGCTCACCATCTATAATTCATCGCAGGCAAGGATGGGACCCGAAGGCAGGCGGAAAATGAGAGAATAATGACTCATTCTTTACAAAGGCTCACAATGGAGGGAGGGGATGGGGGGGGGGCTGGAGACATGCGGACATGTTCAGTAGTTCTCCAGCGGAAGATAATGGCGTTATTGATTTTCCAAAGTTTGTTCTGAAAATCAATAACTATAAGAGTTGTTATGCTTAAAACGTACATGTCATTACCTATATTGCATCATTTTATTAAATTACAATGTTAACAGTCATGAAATAAAAAAGATAAACACTCTGGATCATAAAATGTAAAGCAGCCTGTTGCTTGAGTCTACATGCAGAAATGAACGGGTGGTCTATTGACCTGCCACCTGAGAGCAGACAGCTTGTAACCCAGTTGCCCACTGGTGCAGTGTGAAATTGATTTGGTCTTATGACAGATTCAGAATGAGCGGCATTTATCCTCACCGCCAAAATCTGGCCGAGTCACAACTGCATAAAACTACAAACTGCAGCTTTAGCTCTGTATATGTTCTTATGCAGGCTTTTAGGCTGAAAAAAAGAAATATATACTAATGAAAATATATATTAAAAAAACGTTTTGTATCGAAAAGAAGAAACCGTGAAAGAAACAACAGGCAATATGTCTTTATGTTTTTGAGCATCATAACCAATTTCGCCTTTTACCATCCATGATCTCTCATCTTGAGATTCAATTTTCCTTCAATTCAAAGCCATTAAAAAAAGAAGCAGAGCAGCTTGTCATACGATAAAATAAATGGCATCCTCGCTGTCAATCGGAGCTTTAGCGTTGTGTGTGTGTGTGTCCACAGTTTTACTGCAGTTCTTTAGTTAAAAAAAAAAGGCCGCTGCCGAGCGCTGAGAGTGGAGCTCTGATATCAGAAGCGAGTGTGTTTGAGTAAGTGTTTCTACACACGACGATCTTTTGCAAACAAAGCCCGTGGAAATCGATGGCTTTGAAACACGGCCGGCTTGTTTCCCTTTAATCGGTTCCTCTCATCTGCACTTAAGCCCGTCTATGCTGATAACGTGGCTGTGCTTTGAGTTGACCGAAAGCCGACTGCTTGTGAAGAACTGTTTTAAAGAAGGCCACGGCGAGCGGAGGAACATACTTCGAGTGTCGAGGTTAAACGCGCGGTCTTTCGCCGGGGGGGGTCTTTGAGCTTTGGCGGTTGCCAGGTCACCTTGACGATCTGATTCAAAGATTGCTCAGCTTTACAGCGACGGGGGAGTTGCAGTGCACTCTGCAGAGTCCTCTGAGACAAGCCTTCGGCGCGTGCCAAGACAGTGTGTGTGTGTGTGTGTGTGTGTGGGGGGCGGAATTTAAAGCTCCCAACAAAATGAAGCAGTCCAAAGTGACTTGGCTGCACTCCAGAACAGACATAGAGAAAGCCCCGTCTCTACAGACTATTATATTCATTTGTTGTAGAAAAAAGAAAAAGCTCCTAAACATCAAATTCTCAGAGAGAAACTTGCTTTAGAGATGACAATCAGGAGAGATCAAAGACACAGATGGTCTTTTTACAAGCACCGATTGCTCCTTATGCCTAATTGCAGATCTCAAATATCATTCAAGCGGCTTTTTAAAATGTTCACTTTTTCCACATCGACATTAATTTCCCCCAAACCGAGACAAATTGGACTTGATAACAAGACGTGCCGCACATTTGCTTGGGTGGTACAGAAAGGAGAATGGCGAAACAGCGTTCAGAGGATGGTTCGCCTATCGTCGTAACATGCGGAGCAGAGGCAGATGGCAGCAAAGGAGCTCACTGACTTCCAGTTTTATCTAAACAGGAGTGTAGTCTCCTTCCTCCTCAGGTGGTCTCTCTAATACAATATTGAAAATCCTCTTTCTTGGCGAATCAGCCGGAGACCTGTGGGTAATATGATTCTAACTACGTGGTGGGTAATTCCCAATTAATTAACACGATGAGTCACAGCGGAGAGCACTTGGAGTCCTCGTCACAAAGTAAAGACGCCCCGTAGCTTTTTGCGTTCACTTCTGTCAATGGAATTCTTCAGGCACGTTTCTGTTAATTAACAGACATGCACCGTTAGTATAATGGAGCAAGATAAAAAAGCAGAACTTGCTGAATGATGAATGCAAACAATGGACATAGGTGAAGTTGTGAACATATTAGCCTCAGAGCTAGAGGTTAACATACAAGTACATGACTGGCTTCCCACAGCAACCATTGAGGTGCTGTGGGGGAAGGCAATGAAAGGAGCTTCAAGTACTCCATCTTGATTATCATTTATTATTATTAATATGACATTGTTGTCCACAGTCCTTTATCAAGACGGAGAAAGGCTTTCAATGTGCCACGTTAACGTTACAATACTTAAGATTTTATTAAAATAGAATATGACGCTTGCATGAATCTCAAACTAGAGAAAAGGATTTCTGAAAAACACATAGCGTGGTAATAGCTGAGTCATCAATATTGATCAGCCACCCCATAAACCCTGCTGATAGGGCAGGGAAAAAGCTTCACTATTGCACCCCTCAGTGCCCGGGCTGCTCCAGCGGAGCTTCTAAGCTAACAGTAATGGAGGACTGTGTTCGTCTTTGTCGATGGGAACTGGGGACCGACGCTGAGGAGGAGCATCCGTGCTCTGTGGAGTTTTCCTGATGTAAAAAAGGGGGTTGATACAAGAACAAGAGCAACAAAAAATAAATTGCGCTTCCTCCTCCTAAGAAACCCGCCTGACTGTAACGGGCTGAATATTTCATCGGGCCGACTCCCTGGATCAGCTCCGACAGAGCAGAAACCCAGTGGCTAGGCAAGCTCCTCCCCTCAGACCTGCACACGCATCACAACATCTCCTTCGGGAGCCGGACTTTTGTGTCATATCTTCTTAAATTAACAATGAGCGACGATGTACAGAGCGGAATGCTTGAGAGGAGGCCACTGAGGAGAACGTTGCCTTCGCTCCCGTATTCACATGCGAGGCAGTGAGCTGCACAGATGGCACCAAACAAGTCACAGTATACAAAACACACTGTATTTCCATTGTGAAAGTTCTTTTCATTAGAGGACTGCGATGCCTTGGATCGTAACGCCCTACATACGCGACCGACCTTTTGTCGGTTGGTGTAAAACAGAGGTGGTATGGAATTGTATGATAACTAGAGCTATAAAAAGCAATGGCCTGATTTTCAAAACCCTCAACTTGTTGGGGAAATCTGGGGCGTAACACCAAAAAGCCGGAGCAGAGCTTCTCACCAGCCAAAGGCAGCTACCTAGTAGATGGGGACTTCGGAAAAAAAAGTGAATTGAATGAGGTTGGAAACAGATGTCTGCCCTTCCAAATGTTTGCATTTCTTTGCAGATTCTATTGCAAATCCCTGATTTGCGCCTGCTGCTCCCGTGCTATGAACACACTGCTGTGGCTCCACTCAACCGCGCAGGCATCCCCTCATGCAATATTCAACAGGCTTGGTCTTGTTTCTTTTCAAAGACCCAGAGGACGAAATGCTATTAGCAGCACGAAACCAAAAGGAATAATGTCGGTGATTACTCCGTTTCATGGAGATTAATGAGATTATGATGAGGAGGGTTGATAAATATTTGGGAGGAATGGTGTTGAAGGGAGTGGAGATGGGACGTCCACAGATGGGGGAATGCAATTCGTACTCAAAGGGACTTCTTACGTAACGCTCATATGTAATGGTATTTGAAGACACCGGGACCCATATGTATTCATGAGCGTCTAACACTTCATTTAGAATATGTATCATTATTGTCAAAATCCTAACTCTATGAACAGTTACTAATGCTTTTAGCTGAGAAAAAAACACGTGGATGAATAAAAATATATTGGCAGCAACATGAAAGTGGAGGAATTCAAAATAAAAAACAAAACACCTTGCGAATGAATTCCTATTTCCTCCATCCTTTGATCGTTCCATAGTTCAATCATTTGTGTACAAAGAAACAACTGCTTCTCAAAGCTGGAACCAAGGGAGAGGCTTTTTGCTGCTGCTTGGTTGACAGTAAATAGGAGGCTGAATGAGTGGGCTGATAATAATCCAACGAATGAATCACCTTTATCTACAACAGAGATGTTAACTCTGAACTAAAGACAACACCAAGGTTGAATAAAAGCCAAATACCTTCGTTCTTTTCTTCAAGATCCTTCTCATTAGTGATTCATGTCCTTCTGTCTCAAGTAAAGTATTTCTTTAGGAACTTCCTGTGTTTGCTAGTGATGTTCACACTGAAGTCTGCTTAAGTTCATTCACTCTCTATGGATCTTAGTCTATCATGCAGTCTAGAATGACTTCACCACACCCACAATATGAGAAACATCACCACTGATGGTCAATGAATACAGCAACGGAAAAAAAAGCAAAAATATAGGTTTGTTCAACAGCGTGTAAGTTGGTCAAACATACATAAAGACATCGAATAAATCAGGCCTTGGATCACAACTTTTAACGGTGTGTCATTGCGTTTGGTGGATGCTCGCATCAGGGACCATAATAAATCACTAACTGTACACACAGCTAGCTAGAGATCTCAGAGAGAGAAACAGAAGAGCCACAACAAAGACGTCCTTTCTCCAACCACCATAACTATCTGTGTCACATGCAAAACTTTGAAATGCACGGTTTCTGTTCTTCCCCTACACACACACACACACACACACACACACACACACACACACACACACA